GTTGGAATGGAATCATGTGTTGGTTGGGATGACACGATGAATTTTGCTGTCCCATTAGCACCCGTTCTTCGAAACAACCACTAATTATTGTTTAAAAATTCGGTGGCTTGGGATTTAGCCACTCTGTAAATGGGTAAAGAGAGATCGTATTTCATTTTAAAGTGCCGCCTACTTTTCCGAGAGCGCAGGTTGAAAGCCTTTGAAGAGCGACAAGACGCATTATGAGTTGTAAACATCTTAAGTTCTCAACAGCGTATAAAGCTTTCACCTAAACATGCACTCTAACGGGGCGACGAGCGCTCTTGAGTACCTCATGGCGGTGAATTGTTGTGCTTTGGTGAAATATGCTTAACAAAACATTGAAGTCCGACGTAATATTTTATAGGTACTACAGGATGCTTTGGTGTGAATTCCTCCAATAAACAATAGTTACTCTCTGTGTTCGAATGTTCATTGTTGGTAATGTAAGATAATACGAAAAATCATTAGAGTTTTATCTAAAGTTTTAAAGATGCATTAAAAGATTCGATATTCGTTGTTCAAATCAACCAAGTGATATTGCATCCGAACACGCAACAGAATAAATTTTTTAAAAAGAGGATTTAAAAACAATTTCACCCATATAAAATTGTCTTTTTCTGTTACTGGACCAAATAATTTTACGGTGGTAAAAGAGAGTAATCAATTTTTAATGGTGCCTACGAAGAGAATTACTTCAACTCCTCTCAAGTTACTCCTCAAAAATCATCGGCTCAAGTCTTCATTTATTAAGATTCTTTGAAAACCTTTTAACCGAATCAACAGTCCGGTCTATGGTCTACTTAAAATTGATGTCTGAAAGTTGACTGAGATGGTAAAAATTCTTTTAGTTGTGTGGGTAAAGAAACGAAAACGGATGTGACTACGTGATTTCTTTTACCCTCAAGGCAGCTGGCAATGAAGAGTCAGTTATTCAGGTAAAACTCTCTTATTTCATTAATTTTATTCAAATTTCGAACCTGCGAGCGTTAATAAACGTACAATGAATAGATTCGATTTTTTTCCGCATTGAACAGAAGCGAGAGCGAGATAAAAACCACCAGAAAATAGTCATGAAGTGACGGCCGACATATTAACCCTTAAAAATTAGTCGGGTGAATTCCACGTAATTTAACGGTTAATTATGTCGGGCTTTTACCCTTTTCGCACATTTATTTAAGGAGAATTAGTCTTTTTATATGTTTCATCCATGTCTTAAAGAGGTTTACCTGTTTAGGGTCCTAGAGATAATGAAAACTCTCGTTGCTTTACAAGCTCGCATGCGAATTGAACCACGTAAGATTCACCGTAATTCTCACATCTAAAAGCCATACGAACGTTTGTAAGCACAGTCAACGGCCAGGATATAGTGGTCTGTATCTAGCTAACTATACCTTGCCGGAATCAGCATGCCTAAGTAGCTGAAACTGTCAGAATACATTCGACCAGCCCTCTATATTCTAGCCATCAATTGCGCACGGATGCATTACTCGCGTCGTGCGATTTCAACAAGATATTGATGTGAATTGTCAAAAACGATCACCCAATGAGTAAACAAGAAAACGTCCTTTCCGCGATGTTCAAATATGTTTCTGTATCTGTTTTCATTACAACCATCTCGAACGCTAAGTGGAAAGACACGATGTTTCCGTACGTCAAATCGTCCCGGAGTCAGTATAAGAATCCTTCCAGATGCACGCCCAGCACACCCAGTAGCTTCAGTACGAGAGACCGAGTAGGCAGCGTTACCCGAAATTGTGCCGGACCAGTTTATGGGTTTTGGAGAAATTTTTATCTCCTGTCTTTGGGCTGAATATTGTTGAAACTTTGGAGGCCACGTGGAAAGAGAAAAGGACTGATCTGAATATGGAAGGTGAGTCGTTGTCCTTTTGAGAAACCGGGCGTGTGGGCGGACGGATATCTCGGGCAGATTCTGCAAGCAAACTAAAGGCGTGTTTACATCGCATAGCTAGCTAAACACTCTACAGTAGTCCAATATCTCCTGCACTTTAGAGTTCTATAAATATTGCTGAAAAAGACAGACTGTTTCAGATGTCGTATGTAAATAAGTAAGGTTCGAGTTTCCCGATAACAAAGACTTGATGGTGCTAAGCGGGTAACATTTTGAACTGAAGACTGATATGCCCCAAGGGGGAATCAAAGGTAAGGTATAATTCTATAAAACATTTCTAAAGAAAAGTAGATGACACAAATAAAGTTACATAAAAAGATACAATTTAAATGGAACGTTTATACAGTTCATGATCACGAACAATGATGCAAAGAAGGCTTTTAATGTATTCCCTGTGTATTAAAGCCTATTCTTTAGACAATTCTTTAAGTTTCCTTTCTCGCAATTGTTCAATTCGGACAAAATGACACATCTGTCTGTTCCGCGAGTGAAAAGTTTTTCTTCTATTGTTAATCAATCCCACACACTGTTTGCTTTGCGACCGTGCTCGCAAATTGAAACAAGAACACACTCATTGCAAAAAAAATTAACTGTGATGATGTATGCAAACAAGGAAGAGTCGGGCTTTCTCTGTTGCTGATGATCGAATTATACGCCAGACGCGCACAACCAACGAAGTGAATTGTTCGACTTTAAAATAACCCAACTCAAACGTTGCAAATCTAAGCTAATCTTTGTCATGAGATCCGTCAGTAATATCCAATAATTCTTCGCGGTATTTGAATTTGTTCTACGAAAAATCAGATTACAACTTTTTACTGATAATTGTCATATTCACACATGTACTAGAGTAAAAGAAACTGAGACCAACATCGACTTTTACTCAAGCTGGTTGACAGTTGAAGAGCTACAATAGCTCATTTTACTGTGGCGTATAGATTACAAGGCGATATCTCAGAGAAGAGATTTCAGTATAAGAATCATTAGCTGTATAAACCTAATAAGGAAACAGATCTCTTTGATATGTCGTATTGTACTTGGAATAATTATACACTTACATATTATAATTGGGTAACCACATATTTTCAGGTATTTGTTTCGATAATTCCCCAGACCTCTGGCGTGACCGATGAAAAAACTTTCCCCCTCTGGTTTTCGTTTCGAACCGTTTATAAACCAGAAAAAGCTAAATTATGGCATACCCTTGTTGTTACGGGCACATTTCGCCCTAGCAGCACATGTTATTCAAGAACTAACCAGGGTAAAACGTACAACCTCGTTGCTAACTATTTTCATAAACTGTTTTGTCTGAGTTAGCGAGAACGATTTTGATGTCCCCATTCATGTGCTAGTTACGAAACAAGATTCACGCCCATCGTCAACGAACAGTCAACCGCTTTGGTATCCATGGATTTAGAACTGAATTCTTTCCAACGTGAAGATATTTTGTCTTTACCTTTCATTTGAGTAAGCGGGTATGCACAATGTACCACCATCTCCACGCGAATTTGTTCAATATTGGTCTCTGATGGAATGAATGCGAAACAAAGACGAATATCTTAAGCTATTCTTTAGTGTTTCAGCAGGTCGATTTCTTTATAAAATATATGAATGACATAGTTAGTATATACAATAAGAGAGAATTCTTACGGTTTAGTTATTTCGAAAATAACTTAAACAACCCACATAGTTTTACGATAACAAAACCGATTAAACCAGAGCAAAACTTACAGTTTCATTGTTGGAAGAATTAAACTTGCCTTCAACTGATCACAGACTGCCGCACAGAGGCGAAAGGTCTTTGTTCAACTGAAACAAGGAGAAACTTTTTCAGGACCCTTAAAATGTTCATAAAATACGTTCCTTTAGAGTTTTTAAGTGTTTTGATCTTTCCATATTTGGCGCGAATCTATGAAGCACATATGTTTTGATGTAGTCGTGTAGACCCAGTACAAATCTCGATAGTTTTTATCAATTCCCTCAGTAATTAAAATAACAAATAGTTATTGTTTCACACAGCAGTAGCTGGTGAAAAAAAGGACACGGAGTATTATTTATTCATGGACGTGCAAGGTGGAAACAATGATCATACCTTGTCATTGTGTGTTAACTCGCGTGTATCACCAATTAGAATTTAACTGAATAGGTTCAATTGGAATACCGTCAATATAGAACATGAAGTTCGTATAGATAACGTTTGTAAACTAACAACGTTAAAAAAAAGAAAAAGGTAATGATTGAACATTTAACCTCAAACTCTCAGACAGAAGACATCAATGTTTGGATGTGTAATTAGGTAGAGATATTTTTCTTGGAGTAAATCAACATTTGGGTTTTGCCCTGTCCCTGGGAGGCTTTACACAGAGAGCACAGAGCACTCATAATTTCCTGGGACGTTCAATTCAAGAGTCGACAATATTTACAATGTCATCTCAGTGGAATTAGGTTTGAGAGGTTTTCGCAGCGATTCGGAAAGATTCTCTGCCGCACGCCAGACGTAATTTTCAAGTCTCACGTTAATTCTACTCTCTGTTACACTTGTTAATGAGATTCCTGTCAAACTGGAGTTGAGAAAATGTAGATTAGACGTTTTAGTGCCGGGGGTTCAATGATTGCCGATCGTGACGATGTAATAAAAGCAACTGAATGAAACAGAGATAAACGTAAGCTTCCTAATCCGCCAGTTCAATTAAAGCCTAAATCAACAGAAAGCAATGCTATGGCAGAACATGTGTGAAATAAAGGCCTGTAGAGACTGCTCTCGCGACCAGAGAATGGTCCTTCTGTCACCTTAAGTCCACTGAAATGACAGACATTTAGTCTTGCCTTCTCAGCATTCAGTTGATCTGTCAGTTTTTCGTGGCACTTTCTCCTAACAAAACAACCTGACGACAATCCGGCCAAATTGTTTGATTTCAAATGGCCTGTCGAAAGAGTGAAGTGTAGCCCCGCCCTGCTACACTAAGAGCCTGCCCCGTGCGTGCGACCTGCTTTAATCGTGTTATCTGAGCTCCCAGTACAATGGAGCCCATTTGAGACCGTTTACACGAAACGCAAGCACCGGATAAAAATGAGTTCCTTTTCCATAAGAGACATTCTTAATCTTCCAGAGGAAAGAATCCGCTCTCTGAACTCCAAGGGCGAGGATCCGATGACCTTGCAAGAAAGACGGAGCTTTGCCATCGCCACTCCAAGCTCAGACGATGAAGAGGGAAACGCTGATGCGCCGGACACCACAAAGTCAAGTACGAATAACTTAACTATTAATGATTTTTGCCCTGCAAAGCAAATGCCACGCGCTGTATTCAAGTAAAAGTGTCTAAGCTCAAAAGTTGTAGGAACGATTAACGAACTCAAGAGATCTTTGTCGTGAATAACAGTGTGAAAAGAGTTAATTCGCTTTAGATAAGTGTAGTTAAACTCTGTAAACTTCACCACATCTAAGAAATCTCGAAGTTTCACTTCTTAGCTGTCAGGCTTTATTATGTGTCATACTAGAGTCCTATAACTGGCCTCATAAAAAGCTGTTCTATATTGTAACGATAGCATCCTTTACTGCCACTTATAACCTCAATAGAAACGGAAAAAGTTTCAAGTGATTAATTCTGCTATGGTGCGAAAAATATGTCAATGGAATTGTCAACTCTAGGGCTGTATGCCGGCTCTATTTCGGTCGTATTCATTGAGGATTCATGACTTGTCGGTTTATGGCGCGCAATTTGGCAAGCGCGATATTTATTTATGAATTTCTGACTTCAACAACTTTTAAATGGCAATTCACATTTTTATTCTCGAGATAAGGAGAATTGGGTTAATTCAAAGTAGATTATTCAGGTTTTATAATGCTACTGGTAGTCTATTGAGAAACTCACATGGATAACCGCAACTCTCTTACCCACACAGGCGCGACACAACGACTACCGTCTCAGTCTCAGAATCCAAACGCCCAACTGGCCTCGGACAGGAAGGAACAATCAGAATCTAGCAAGAAGAGAAAGAGAAGGGTTTTGTTCACAAAAGCGCAGACGTTTGTTTTAGAAAGAAGATTTCAACAACAGCGCTATTTGTCGGCACCCGAGCGGGAAGAACTTGCACGGATAGTGAACCTTACTCCAGCGCAAGTGAAAATTTGGTTTCAAAACCACAGATATAAATACCGCAAGCAGATTAGTGAGCGAGGGCCTTGGGACAAACCGTATTCACCTTTGTCAGCACAAGGGGCTTTATTGAACGGTTCAGGACAGTTCTGCAGCTGCCTCAGTCCAAGCTGTAGCTACCTAAGCAGTCCACCCTACCAAGGAGATTATCTTCATTATCCTACGGCAGTAAACTCGACGTACATCCAGCCTACCACGTATTGGTGATTGAATAGTGAAAGGCGAACCGAGCGCCCGCGCGACTGTTTTTAAAGTAACAGGAGTAGTATAGTAAATGCTCTTTCAACTAGCGTTTGTCTAAAAAGAGATAAGGGGGTTCACTGTCAGTGTTAAGTTTTAAAATGACAACGCCACGTTTCGAAAATGTACTTGTAAATAAGTTACACAAGTCAGCTCGAGTAAAGCGCAGCAAAACGTTTACATTCTGTAAATTGTACACACATTCACCTTAGGGGCTCCAGTACCATGTTTTTTTTGCTTTCGGGTACCAGAAAGCGTGCGTAGCTGACAACGAAAAAGGGAAGCGTGGTTTAATTTAGAGAAAATAATCTTGTAAATAGTGAGAAATTCGATATAAAGTGATTTTGTAAGGTATTAAGGGTTAGGCGCAAAAAGTTGGCGAAGTTAAAATATCGTTTACCGACACAAATGTGAACTGTGTGCATTGGGAATTCCTTGTGTAATCATCTGTCTTTTGATTTCTTTATAGAACACTAAAACCGTCACTAGTATTTTATCATGAATGCCAATGAATAAATGAAACTGCTAGAAGCCAAGAATTTTCTCTGTGTTTTATGAATAGGGTGGAAACGATACATTCTGAATCGTTTTGAATTACTCGATTATTCTTAGTCCACAAGTCAAGGCGCAGCGATGTATCGTTGATTTATGAGGTTTTGGAAGTTTTCTCGTGCTTATTTTTCTTCCAAGCCACTTATTACTCTTCCATTGTAAGGGGTTAAAAGGGGATAAATACACTAAAACTTGTGACTGCAGTATCTAGCTTGAGTTACTGGTAACCGATTGTTTTGTACCTGTTTAAACTCAATTGTAGCATAGGAGATGAACAGTTCAGCTCTCGATTTCCTTTCGTCCATGTTAGCTTATGCTAAAAAACACAAAAAGAACCGTAAAAACAGAAAGTCAATGCAGTTAAATTTTATTATTTTAGCCACAAACTGAAAAGTTAGAACCACTTCGTACAGCATCGTAGCAAACAACACTTCCGGCAAGTAATGGTTAGAAGCTTAAGCTAGAGACCCTCAAAAGTTAGAGACGCCAATCGTAATGAACAGCCCCCCGAGAAAACACTGCTAACAGATTTCGAATTTGAATCATTGCTCTTGCAAGTACAACTCAACAGCTTCGACAAAACGATCAGTGTTTTACAGATCACTAAAAAGCCAGAAATTCAGAGATCAACCAACGAAGTTTTATTGTTTTAATTCCTAATTGTTCCGTCTCTGTTTTGATTGCAGCAGTCAGTTTATAAACCTCGGTCGAAATATCCTCTTTGTTTTCAAGAGGCAACCATTTACTTTGAAAAACTATCCATATCTTCAGGGTACTTTCGTCTTTGCATGTAGAAGATCAAGTTTCTTTTGTATTTAAATATTTAAACAGTTTCGTTGGGCCATAACATCAATATTGAATCTAAAAGATTAAGTTTGTAATCGACCAAAAATAACAAAAAATGTTTTGTTTTGTCTATTATCGTCTAAAGCAACAAGATAGAAACAAAACTAGTCTTTCGCGGCGAATCGATGGCGTGCCAGTGGGTATTATTGTCCATAAGTCTTGTTATTTGCGTTATAATTTTGATTTCTGCTTCTGAAAGAAAGCTTTTTGTAAAACAAGAAGCAGTTCTTCTAAGAGACTCTACAACCACCTTTAACTTTGCCGATTTTATTTTTTAATGATTTCATTTTATTGTTACGCGAAAAAAGAGGATAACTTGATTGAGTCAACGTCGATATAGCGTAGGTCCCATCACGGGACGGGTCGGGGCCCCGCGTAATCTCATATCCTGGCTAGGTCTATAGGCAATTGTCCCAGTATATAGCAATATATTGCTCGATACGTTTCAGCATTCAGATGGTTTAAATTGGCTTGAATCCTAAGCAAACGCAGTCTACGTCTTCAGGAAAAAAAGGCAGTAAACAAGGGCAGGAACTTTGTGATATAGAAAATGTCTTACATAGTATTCTGTATTTTAATTCAAAAAGCTTCGACCAATACTAAGTCATAAATCGACTACAACGAAAGAGTCTCTTTGGTGGGGAGAGAAAAGCTTGAAATGTAATAGTATAGATTTAGCACTTTTTGTTTTGTTTTGTTTTATTGTGGTGTTTTATAAGTTTGGTGAGAAAAGTCAAAGGGTTTTTTCGGTCCACATGTAACTATGATAGGGAAAATTTCATTGATTGTTTAAGGATTAGCTGTATTGACTGACGAGGCAATAAAGGGTTTTTATTTAGATTTTAAATTTCCTATATTGAACGATATTCAGGAAGTTTGTCGAAAAGTGCGATTTCATTGCTACATAAAATTAGTCTCGTCAACTCTGCTCACTTTTTGCTTCAATCTTAATTAGATATCACAATCTGTAGTCTGTCCCATTCGAATAGGAAAAGAACTGACGCTTTCTTACCAAGCCCCGCTAAATTTAATAGAAAATTGCTGACTCAAATCGGAAGCAAATTTTCCGTTGTAATATTCTGCGGCCGGTGCAAAATCCCCGATGATTTCATTTTCGACAGAATGGAGCGCCGATTTCCTTTTATACAAAGGAAAAAGAAGTCTTTTCGGATCATTGTAAAGAGAAGTTTTGTGAATAGTTTTCTTATTCTTCCTGGCTGTCAGAAGAGAATTAAAAAGACATCATTAACTGTGATTTTATGTCAGAGGATTATGACATTTCAAAGTTATTGGTTAAATAAAGCTTAGGAAATGGCTGTTCAAACAGCGAGCTACACCATCAAATATAATTCCTAAAGAAATCTCACGTGAAATTTAAAATTTTCACCAAAAAATATTAATTCATTTAGCTCTGTACACTAACTGATCCGCGCATTTGCAACTTTTTTATGTGGCGAGAAAATAAAGTAGTCCCACAAGTGATATATCGTTGGTTACAAAAGGGATATCAAAGGCTCTGTTTGTTTATTGAAGCAGCTTTGTATGTCCAACAATAGTTTAATAACACTAACTTTAATTAAAAATCGCCGTTTACTGTGCAAAGATATTTGATTACTAAACCGTGGTGTTGACTTAAGTTTTTGTTTCCTTTATGGCTGTGTTTTCAGGTGCCGCTGAGAGAAAATCATTGGTTATTGTTAACCTTTAGGAACGTATTTTATTAAACAGTAAATTTTGATTGGCGATATCTCCTTCTGTTCGGCGACGTCTCGTCAAACCCAAGGATGTACACAAACATTTTTCTTTTTGGTTTCAATTTTTTCATAAATTCAAACTGACATTTCCGAAACTTATCTTCGTATTTCTTAATGGGAGAGTTTACACAGAATCTGATTTAATTCAATCTCAATTTCGTGTGTATGTGATAAAGTTGAAATTGCACTCGGAAAACTTGAAAGTTGCTGAGTAGTTTTCCGCCCTATCAATCGAATTCATAAGCTCAGCAATAGAATAAAAAAAAATTATTTCCTTCGTCTAAATGATCTTTCGTTTATTTTAATGTTAATAAAGTCACTGTAATAACGTCATAACTTTCAAGTAACCTTTTCGCAATGAAAAAAGCCAACTTAAACAATCCTCATAGTGAACAGAAAAATAAAAATTAAACCTCCACCAGTTTCACTAACTTTTTCTCCCTGTTCTTGATACCTATTACTCCGGATTTAGCAACAACCTTAAAGTGTAATCCATAATGTATTAGTGTTAAACTAAAGAAAATTATATAACAATGATGAAAAGGTTAACTATAAGGTCCATAAGAGTTTTTACAGTTTCAATATGTATAGGTGAGCTGACTTAGTACCCTCATTCTAAATATCTATCCTTCATGTGTGAAACCTATAGTGGATGTAGTCCCTCGAACAGTATCACCTCGATATAACGAAGGGGCAAGGGACTGGCAAAATGTTTCGCTAAAACGAGGTTTCGTTATGCCGAGGTTATTTTTCATATGTTTGGCCATCTCCAATACTGGAGTTGTTCGTTTATGAGGTATTATGTTTCCACTACTGTGTAATATGTACAGTTTAGATTTCGAGTGTATCAATGAAATGGAACTTAAGCGTGGCCACTTAAACGAAAGCTGTTCATGGATGCTTTAGTCTAACAGTTAAAATCAGAATGGATTTTTAATGGAGCTTTATTCAAACTTGGTTGTTTTCACGATTCCATCATGAAAATCAGTAAACTGTTGAGGGACCCGAATTCACCCGTCAGGAATTTAAAATAGAAGGCATATTCTGTTATTCGAAGTACATTAAGCGAGGTCGAACGTATAAAGTATCTGAATTGCACTTCAACAATCCGAGTGGCCTCTCATCTGCATTGAGAATTTCGGCAAGTTCCATTCTTTCACGATTGGAGGGTGGAATTCCTCTCTCGAGAACAAGAGCCTTATCACGTGATCTTAGTGATGAAAATATAGAGCAATTTTCCGTCGCAGTGGTCAAAGTGTGTGCATGTTTCTTAAAAGAAATTATTTCACACATTTTTTAAATTATTTATGAAATAACATGGCTTAGCAAAAATTGATACTTTCTTTCCTAAAACCAAGAAAGGTATTTTGTTTCTAGGGATATAGGTTTTTCGAAGTGAATGGTTTTGTTAATTCTCTTTATTTTGATCAGATAATGATAACGAATTCATTACACCAGCATGTGCATTTTATTTATTTAGCGCCTTCATGTGAGATAGTCGATAAAAGATCCAAAGCAAAGATGTTAATCTCTTCAAGTCCATAATGACTCGCACTTTTAAGTAAAGCTTCCTCAACGTTTAGTTGCGGATAGTAATGATTAAATCCCCAGTCGAACATTCTTGTCACTGCTAGTGCGCATGTCAGAGCTGAAGCCCCATGAAAGACTTTGTCTTGATGAACAAACACACATTACCAGCCGTCCAAACAAGGTAATAAACCGTGCTAAGAAAAAAGTCCTGTTGCCATAGGTAACGAAGATGACCGCATGCGGTTCAAACTTTTATATCTACATAATAAAGACATTGATTAAAACATGTGAAGAGGCGAGAACGTTCGTCATCAATGGTGACAAGTTGTCAACCACTTTAATTCATATGCACCAAGTCTAGACTAGGAAAGTTTAAGTTCCACGGGGAAAAACGCTCCTGCTTTCATTTCCGTGGTAAAACGTTCTTACTTGTATGAATTCACTAAGAAATTCATTGGTTACACTGACTCTCCACATAATTACAAGAATCAAGGGGAAGTCACATGTGCATAGCTCTCATTTGAACTGCTCTGTGAATTTCAGTCGCAGACTCAAAAGTTAGAACCACCTTGTACAGGATAATAAACAGCACCACAGGAAAGTACTGCTCAGTACTGCTTTCATTTGAATGGTCACACTTTAGGATTTCATCCACAGACGCAAAAGTTACAACCGCCTCTACAGCGTAATAAACAGTACCACAGAAGAGTACAACTTAGTAGCTTTCATTTGAATGGTCACACTATAGTATTTCATTCACAGACTCAAAAGTTAGAACCACCTGGTACAATATAATAAACAGTAAAACACAGGAAAGTACTTTTCAGTAGCGTTTATTTGAATGGTCACACTCCTAGCGATTTCCTTCAACTTGTCCAAACACTTTAAAAGCTAGAGCTAGCTCAGAACAGACCACTAAACAACAGCATGAGGGGATGTTTATACTGTAGAAATTTAACATGCAATTTGAAAATTAGCAGAGCTTCATAAAGCATTATCAAAAGAAGTGGAAAGAAAGAAAGACTCGATTAATCCGCGTCATCAATAACCATCCGCTCTTACTCTGATAATCAAATATTTCATGTTGCACATTGTGCGTCATTACCAATATTAGACACTCAGCCCGTTCACAAGAATTATCACACCTCAAGAGTTTCAATCTCAGACTTGAATGTTAAGAATATGAGGCTCAGTACTATTCATGGCAACGCGTACAGCCGTTTACTCGAGGTACAAAACAAGACTGCCTCCGCGCAGGACAAAAGTACAGTCATACCATGTTAACACACAGACACTGAAAAGGCGATAGAAAGAGTCCGTATCAACAGGGTGTGAGTATTAAGAAGGTCATGTTATGAAAGTCAAAAAGACACCTTTTATTACTACAAAATACTAAAGAAATACAAGAGGACATAAGCATCTTCAAATTAAACATTTCTAACCTTAACAAAGCCTTTATTTCTCGGACTAAATTCACAGAAACACTCAAAAATCGCTCATCTTTATATTAGTTAATCAAAACCGTTTTCTTCATAACTCATGTGATGCCAAAATAGTCTGAAGTTGATTTCAAACATTTATCTTATGCGGTACTGTATGGCGCTTGGAACATCGAAATGCTGTCAAAAAGGATAGGTCTGTAACAGTACACAGTTAATACTGAATGAAATCTTGAGATCCACATTAGCGAGGTTGGCATTCTGTGAGAATCTCAGTGTTGACTTGGCAAAAAACAAGAATCGATTGTCTGTATTAAGCGGGTTAAATTTAGAGAAAATGTACGGGCTTTCAGTTCCGCAGCAGGGACAAAGAAAAGTGTCCGTATGAAGCTGGGTTCGAATGTATTCAATGGCAAGCAAAAAACGAGTTAAATACGTTCCTAAGTAACATAACTGATAAGATTACTTTTATTGGATTAGGAGAAGTTAGAAGAGTGATACTTGGTAATTGACTGGACACATGAATATCTGTTGCATGGTATTGTAAACGCTACCCTTTCGCCAATCCCGACGAGAGTAAGCCATTAACAGAAACGCGATATAAGAATCGGCTGTTAAGAAGTGAGGATTACTATCTAGAAAACTTTAAAGTTATACGCTGAACCTCTATAGGGAACAATGAATAGTCCTTCAAGGGATCAAAAAAACCCTTTATTCAAGTCATTGCTATCGTTTGCCCAGCTTTGTAATCTGATTGAAGTCTGTTCAAACATACATGCAAAACTTAAAACTTCTCTGTTTTCTTTAACTGATTTGTTAATTTCATCAAAGGAAATCCTGTTTGCTTTAGAATAGTGTAAGGTGTTAGCCAAGACGTGGAAAAGAGTATATTGTGTTTTAAAGATTGAAGAAATTAGTGAAAAGTAATTGAAAATTATATATTCAACGAAAACTTTGTGACAATTCCATTTCTTCGAGAGTTTGTAACAAAGTAGACCTTTAAAACTGGTTTGAGGGTTTAGGAAGGGTCAAACTCGTTGTCTACTCACTGGCTTTGCGCCAGCTACTTAGTTTTCGTTGTGTTTCATCAAGTGTTTCATTGTGTCTTGAAGGCGCTCGTCCAGCTTACACCCCACACATAGAAAGCTTGGATTAAAGCAAGGTTAAAACGAGCTTTCAGAGCTCAAAATTGCTGCTTGTGTGAAACTTAAACGTTGTTACGGACATTTCTTCCCTTGCAAGTGCAATTATCTCCTTTAACACCTTCACTCAGAATAATGAAGAAAGGTTTATTTTTTCTCCGCTCTCGGAACCAGTAGTGGCCTGCATCGGTGCTACATGAGTCTGTGGATGAATATGAAATGCTATGATGTGACCATTTAAAATAGTGAAAGCTCCTTTACTGTCTGACTAGTTCTCGTTAATTTCATTTTGTTTCTAGTTGCAACTTTTGATTCTCCTGGCTTTGCACAATTGCTAACAATTGCTATTACGAGGCCATTCAAATGAAACTCCTTGTCAGTTCGCACGATACCATTTTATCTTTAACATTTTACAAAGTGAGATTTGTGATTTCTGTTCATTTTTAGCTACTTTTGCCGGAAAGTAAAAGGTTTAAGTTATTTTTAAAACCCGTCGATATATCGACGGGTTTCACATACTAGAGTTACACCTATAGTTAATCTAATCAGGTTTGTACTTGAAAAATATTCTCTTTTCGACTCATTGTTCATTGTTCTATTTGGGTGGTTCGAACCTGTGAACCAGTGAAATCCCATTAAAATGTGACCAAATTTGTTGTTGTATGTATTTTTAGAACTAGATAGGTGGCTCTAACATTCAAACTCGTCAGTGATAACTGAAATTCTCCTAGTAGCATTATGTCTTAGCAGGTAATCCCTTCCGATACGTCGTGATATGATGTATGGTTTTACGAATACGTTTTTACCTTAACATCTAGGTAACATACAAAACAAAGGTGCCACACCTAGGTTATATTCAGCAGGCTTTGTTAAACTGAAGTTGTTTAGTCTGCTATAAGTCTTAGAAATACTTCGTCTCAAACTAGGAAACTCATCGGTGGTTTGGAAAGTTAGGTTGAGTAGCAGAATAAGAATAAAAAGGGAAATTTATTTCTGAAAGAAATAAATGGTTTTATTCTTAGTGTAACTGATCAATGTGTAATTTCTCCAGCTGCCAGAAAGGGGGCGTTCCTGCTATCCGGGACATTATATGTGTATTCTCAAGACAGGAAATCGAGGCACGAAGCTCCTCTGCTCACTGCAACAGGGAAATAATGAAACATTATTCCTTCCCTTCCATTCCTTTTTCCTTTTCTCCACTTTACTGTCCTGGATGGCGGGCGCGAGTGTGCCCTTGGGCTTTCCACAAGTTGCTCGAGATTTTCCAAACCGCTTCCTGTAATTTCTCAAAAAGTTGCTCAAACGTTGCTTCAAAAAAAATCAAAAGTAGCTCTTGAAAACAAAAATTTTTTTTGGTCTGATGCTAAAATATGCAAATTGTACAACAAATAAGTGAGATTTCTAAGCATTTTTGTGCAATTTTGCGGCGTAACCAGCGTTACTAAATAACTTTGTCCTCAATTAAAACCGAAATATATAATGAGCCAATAAAATTGTTGAATGACCTTCTTCACCTGAGGCACTCAAGTCAGTCGAATGCGAATCTGAATTTTCTCTAAAAACCGCTGACCTAGCAGCCTGGTTACTGTTATCTTGCGCCCATGATCTGCACCAGGAAGGGGGGGGGGAGATTTGCCTGCTTTTTTTCACAAGAAATTCATAAATTGTTTACTAAAACATTGTGAAATATGGAAGAAAGGCCAATTTCAGCACTAAAAGCTGCTTCGATATTTCAGAGTTAGAAGATAACTAGAGAAATTGCTCAGAATGCAAAAAGTTGCTCGAAATACGAGAAGTTGCCAAAAAATTGCTGAGCAACTTGTGGAAAGCCCTAGTGTGCCCTCACCTTTGCTGGAATAATCTCCTCAGTGTATCTGGATTTTAGTAGCTCTATATGCTTAAATTATTTGGTACCTCAGCTAACAGATTTCACCCAAAGTGAGACTCCGCCAACGTCTATAATTGACTTAATAGTTATAATTAAAAGGAACATGGAGGATAAAAGAAGTTAAGACTGCAGTTGTTTAAGAGTAACTGAACAATGCCTTTTTCCTGACTTATCTCCTTTCATTTCCTAAAACGACTATGGGAAAGAATTTTGAAAATATTTTCCCTTTGGTGATCAATCTACCAATTCTCATAACCTTTTCTCTTGATGACGTATTCAAAGTCGTTGGGAGAAAATTGACGTTGGTCACTCTTGGGTCTTTGAGGGTTAAAGAGCCGAATTCCGGCGTGGGTACTTGAAAAGGTGGGGGTGGGGGTGGGGGTGGGGGGGGTCCCTTACGAAAGGTACGGGGATGTTCATGAATTATCCGCCTAAAAGATGAATATTTATTGCCGCTGTGTTTATTTTGTTTAATCATAATTACTTTACTCCTTATTTATTGAATTCTCGCGTTCAATTAGTGAATTTTTTCTTAGTTTGCAAAGTAATTCTCATGTCCTTGAAAGGCTTTAAATTCTTGAACAGACGGGCCTCTTGATAAATTGTGTTTTGGTTGGTTTAAATGCCTTTGTTTGTATTCAATACCGACACTTGAAAGTTGGATGCCATTTCCTTCTGTTATCTTTAAGAAATAAAGCTTTTGCCCAAAATGTAAACAAAATTTGAAATGGAAGCAGAACTCGTAGCTATTGAAATGTTTTTTTGATTGTAAATACTTGGATGAAGTTGTTAAGTGTGAGGCACCGAAAACAGGAATTCTTGAGTCTTCCCTAAAGTAGCCTGTGTTTTTCTGAAGCACAATAAGTACGAAATGTACGCTTTGTCCCCGGGGGGGTACTCCCTAATATGGGCTATATAGGTATGTGCGGCCCCAAAGGGTAGGGTTTTTCAGCCGTTTTGGTCATAAATTGGGTATCGATTTTGGCTATTTTGCCGCCATTTTGGTCATCAATAGGGAAACGATTTTTGCACTGTAGTCTTGAATGCACTTTTTTAGAAGAAGCTATTTCCTTATCATGTCCCCCTAACCTAATAAAAGCAGATAAACATTGCCTTTAACATTGGTCTGAACTAGGGAAATAATTATAAGGCAGGTCTGAAACAGGGTATTGATTTAAGGGTCAGGTCATAAATAGGGTATCAAATTTTTGGTTAGGTCATAAATAGGGTAGGGAAAATCGCAGATTTTGGTCATAATTAGGGTAAGGGTTTTGGGAAGCGGGCCGCACACCCCTACCCAATTTTTCTGCGAGTACCCCCCCGGGACGCTTTGTCAACCATCAACACGAAGGCTATTCATCCGTTTCTCACTTTACTTATACTGTTTGTTTTTTGTGTTGAAGATGAAAGTTGAGTTGATTTTAACCTAGGGTTAACCTTTCATTCCTAAAACGTTTGAGTCAGCATGAAACCAAATCCCGTGATGTTTCCATTAAAATCAAACCTCTTCAGCAGTACTGTCACATAGTACTCGGTAAGTTGTTCAGGAGGGTTTCACACATGGAATAAAAGTGATTTGAGATATAACTGAAGTTTATTTTCTCGCCACGTTTCCAAGCTCAAAGCATAGCTGGTTTAAGCCCTAAACATGGGTGTTTTTACTCGCAATACTCGTTGTTACTTCAAGATCGCAATTTCCGTTTTTTTGTGTGTGATAACACTTGATCTCGTTAGAATAGGAAAGACTTAAGTAATCGCCAAAACTGTGTAAGAAAAATAATGGGCTTTGTTCCTCTTACTCTCGAATTATAAATTTCTGAAGCCTCCTTTGAACTGTATAAGCCGGAGAGTAAGATAAAATCTCTTAAAATAGATAAAATAAAGTCGTTCGACGTAAACCAAACATCAAACTATTTGGCTTTCGCTTGACAGCAGTCACCCACTCGTAAGTTATATCTCTGAGTTAAAAGGTATCATTAAGCCCTTGTGTTGCCTATGGTATGAAGAGACCTTAAAAGCCACATCCGGCAGCCTGTCCTCTTTAAGCAAACACCATTCCATTCTGTCTAGAATAAACTTCCTAGCACGAATAAGCTTGAGTAATGAACTTTATGAATTTGTCATCTTCCAAAAACATCTTACCTTTGTGACAGTTGCACATTCATCTTGAGTAAGATATCTCATTTGCGCGTTTTCAACACACAGATTTCGGCGAACACCTTTTCGTGAGGGGGTGTTTTCTTTTGAAGAGCTTCTTGAGTGAAGAAATAGGGATAAATTGCAAATCTGATTTATTTTTCGACTGACTGTATAATGAAGTGCATATCTTAATCCGCACTCGAAGCCACACAACAGAGAGAGATTAGATTGTAATGCGATATCAAACTATTTTAATTCACCATGAATTTTATAATACGTTTAAACCATGCGATTATTGCGAAATGCGCTTTCGTATTTGTAATTCCTCGTTCAATGACGGAACTAAACGTTTCAACACAGCCGACTTGTGGGCTGCCTTTCCTTTTGCGTCATTTGCCACTAAGCCCCCCCCCCCTCCTTCCTCCCAATTCAAATCGTTAAGCTATGCTATCTCTTATTATGCTGTAATACAGTAGAACCTCGGATAACTCGAATCCCCCTCTAACTACGACTAAATTTCCTTTCCTTTGATCAAAACTTCGCAGAAATTTACCCCGATGACTCAAGCTGTTTAGTTTCCCGGCCCTTCAGAGTTCGAGTTACCGGGGTTCAGCCTCAATTAATAGAATCGAACCGAATCGTCACCATCAAGCCCGTGAAAAGGGTTTTCAAGTTAAAACTACCACGTTTGTACATTATACCTTAGGGTACTATGACTCTAATCGGCAGTATATACATCGAGAAAGAAGCTTTGTTTCTACGTGAATTACGATAGAGGCACCAGCGTACAAGCCCCTTTCTATCCTTGCAACAAATAACATATTAATATCTGAGTCTTACAATGGAAAACTATTATTTTCTTCTCAGAAACTTCCAAAACATGGGCGGCTTCCTATGCCCCGTTGTCCGGCCTCCAAGACCTCAAGTTTGTCATCCCATTTGTAAAGACGTTTAAGTGTGGCTATTGCAATTCTTCTTGAAAAACTTGATATACCTGTTTCTCGAAACTTAAGGAATAATACAACCTTGTTTAAAAAGTAGTCCGGAATTTTTTTTGTGAAAATTCTCGAGTAGATTTAAGCGATGGTGTTAATGTTTGCTTTCGAGTATAATTCGTCACCGATAAATTACTGACGTCAAGCTTTCATTTACACTTGTGCCTCGAGCACCCATTGAAGAATTCCTCTGTAACTGCCCCCAATGCTATATCAGCCGGTCTACCAGGGAAACTCTGGACTGCTGGTGAAAGTCTGCTGACTTCAGTGGCCTTCCTCGTCTTGTAAAACTACTCTGGGAGCAACATATGTGAAATTATGGTGGAGTCTACTCTAAGGTAAGACAATGTAAAATGCGATGAAATTGAGAGGAAACAGACGGCAATAAACGAATGTTGCTGTCTGAAACACTACTGTCGAAATCGTTCATCACGGTGAGGATGCCAAGATTCGTGGAATTCCATAGTTAGTTTTCCGAAATATTTAATGGACTAACGACAAAAATCGAAAAAGAGTAACGAAAAGATTTTGCTGCAAGACTTTGAAACACTGATTTCGTCCGGTTTAAACAGAACTTATTAGCACCGGGAACTGGGATTGGCCATCGAAGAGTCGAGACGAGGCTTGGTTAATAGTGGAGTCATTGAATATATAACGCCTCTTTCTTTAAGTTCAAGAATGACTGGATCTTAGAATACATGTTGCGAATATCCCCCGCACAGTCTTTAATATAGGTAGAAGAATGTAGAGAGCAGGATATCTTACTTGAATGGAACTAAATAGGTTCCGAACGACGGCGTTCGCTTACTGCAACTTCAGATTGCTTCGACGCTGTGAAGCGCATTAGATCATATATATGCCGTGAATCTTTGCGCTATATAAGTAACTAATTCACCATTACCTTCTCCTTGTGTCTGCTATGCCAACGAGGTACTTTACTGCGTTCTGAAGTTCGGAAAGGATTCTTCTTCTCCAATCCTGTCAAGATTGCAGGGTCTTTCTAACTTTCTCCCACCCTGTACCAGTTCACCAAAGAGCGTAACTGTTTGTGTACCCGTGAACTGAATTGTAGTCGCTGTTAAACTGAACGGAAAACACTCCATCCATGTTGTTGTCATGAAGACCTCTTTTACGGCAGTGGTCGTGTTTGAATGTATTACATTCTGTACGTAGTGTATTGTATGAAATGTTATTTCGGCTTAACTAACTGGGGCAACTGAATTTCCTGAGAATGTTAAATTTTCGTGAATAACAAACATTCTCCCAGAAATATTCCAATTGAATGTCCTGAGAATGTTCAATTTTCGTGAATAACAAATATTCTCCTAGAAATGTTCCAATTGTTACTAGAATCTCTCATAATCTACTTCGTTTTTCAAAAGCCCCTTAAAAAGATAGAGAGGCCGAGAAAGGGTTTCCTTCTGAATGGTCACACAGTAAGATTTCGCCCGCAGTTTCGGCACAAGTTTCAGTGAACGGACAACAATTCTTTCCCATCATCCAAATTTTTGGATTGATTAAGGTTTCAATACATGAATACTGAATTATTGCGCAGTTTCATAGTTGCATGCATTTTTACTTCTATTTCACAATACAGTTCATGTTATTGATCAACCCAGTTAGTTCATGACTAATTTAGCTTTTCCTGCTTAAAGATCAGACTCAGTGAAGACACTGTTGTTTGTGAATTCTTTAAAATTATAATCCTTGGCACGTTGATACCCTCTTAAACATACTATTTAGCTTAACTTTAAGTCGCCTGGAGAGCCAACGTAAACATTTGAAATTGTTCTTTTTTGCTCTTAGATAGCTAAGCTCGAAGTCTTCTGTGATAGCATTTCTCTCGGCACACATTTGTACAGTAAACAAATTGGCATTCGAGGTGGCCCCTCCCATGAGCCGGGTTTGTTTCTTGTCGTTTTCGTTCACGCCAGAAACAAAGCTGTAAGATTCATTCAAATATTTCAATAAAGCAAACACATGATGTCCATGAAGTATTTAAAATCCAACAATATACTTGCGTTTTAGTTGTAAAATGGAACTGAAGGTACTTCGCTTGAGTGAATTCAGTGCCAGACTGACTAGCCTTGTTATTGTAAATAACATTGTACCAGTTTTGATACAGTAATGGAGCGGCTTACAGGCTTAAATATGATGATCTACGTTCCTTTGTTTAACGCTGCTTATACTCTGCAAGACCAATCCTAAGTCCTCAGTATGTCAGGGAATTGAAACTCTGACTGCTTGCGTTAATCTAGCCTGTGAACAGGCTAGCGTTAATCACAGAACTAAAAGAAAATGGTATATCTGATATCACTACATTATATGTAGCCTGTTCCAGGCTCCGAGATGGTCGGGTTCGCGAAATTGAGAAAGCGCGAACACGAAACTAAAACGGAAGGAAATCATGCGCTTATATTTTCACGTGCCTTTCAGTTACCTACCCTACCCTACTATCTGAGAGCCCTGAACAGGCTACATTATATGCTACACTACACTGATTTAGTTCAAAAGTGATGCTAACCGTTTTGCCAAGCCGTTAGCATTCAGCATTTCCACTTTGCTCATATTACACCCCCAAACATTTTGCGTGAACAAGGTGTATTATGGGCAATGTGAAAATGGTGATTTGCCTTTTTGAACGTACAAATTAGGTTTCTGGAAAACTGCCCACCTACCCCTCCCCTAAGCCCTCATTTTACCCTAAGTAAGAAGTAAGTGTTAATGTTAGCATAGAGGAGGGGTAGATGGGCAGTTTCCCAAAAACCTAAATTGATCCCAAATTTTCAGACAGTCTTTAGCCTGAGTATCAGGCGTTTCGGGGGGAAAAGGGGAGAGATGGAAGCGAAAAAAATCTCCTCTCCCCTATCCCCTTAGGAAGGCCTGATACTCAGGCTAGACAGTCTTGTGATCAAAATACTGATCGGTTATTGACCCCTTTCACTCAGGGGTTCCCTCCCCCCGGCGGACTTTCAACGTTTCGTAGGGAGAGCCTCACTAAAATAAAATGTTTTAATTATTTTGTAGATGCCTTGACGTGATGCTAAATAAAAAGAAAGAAAATGGGATTAATCCTTTAAAATTGTCATCTGGTGAGCCTGAAAGTTAACATGTTTGGACACAACGATGTTACGGGACGTGCGATTGATGCGAAATCAGATTAAAATGTGACGTAGTCCCCACTTCTGGTTTGTGAAACAAAAACAAAGGAACGTGTTCCTTCAAATGAAAGCCCTTAAGAAATATATCTCTATTGTGTGGAATCATTATAATTGTTTGATAATTTTTATAGTAAAACGTCGTGGTGATTTGCCGATGCCAGAACGATGCCAGCAGGATGATAGTATGTAGGGCTCGTTAGGCCATCAAATCTGCGTCATATCATGACCCCTGACGACCTGGATTATGTTATTCGCCGGCCGACTGAAGCTTCCTTCGCTTTTGTCAAACGTGAAGAGTCTATAACTTTTCTCCTTTCGCACATTTCCCATTGCCTATTCTCGCGTGTATGTTTGTTAGGAATCCACGTTTTTACCCACGCGCGCAGCGACGCGCGCTGGCCCGGAGCCATATTGCTCTACTAAGATGAGTGCCTTTTCCGGGATAGAGTTTAGTTTAATTCACTACATGCTTATTAGTGTTGACCCTCTCCTCTCAATTCACCATCCCTTTGAAAAGGGCAAAAGGCCTCTTGTTAATACTAGCAGATAGTAACACAACACTGAGTTCTTTTAGGGCCACCTGAGTTGTAACACGGCGCAGAACGATAAAAAACCGCAGGGAAAACTGTAGTAGTCTTTTCGGGTGGGAAATGGTAGGGGCTCCTTCGGAACTCGGGCCCCCGGGGCTTCGGAAACTGACGTATACTTTTTAGCTTTTACTCTGGTAGCTTGCAAAGGTTACATATTTCTATCAATCAGTTTTATCATTCACACCCGGGCATTCACAATGCGAAAAGAAATAAAAGATCCAGCAACCATTATTAAGGCTAGGTAAAGATTGGTAAAAATTTCGGACAGAATAAAGCGCAAGGCTCACCGCTTTTTGGGCTTTTCCTAGGTTACATGGTGGAAAATAAAGGAATGGGGCTTCCGTGTTGAATGTCAACCTCAACCCCCGCGCTCTCTCAGAGGAGGGGGGCGCTTCACCGACAATTAACTAGGGTACTGCTGCTGAGACTTGTAAAACGCCTCTGTTACACCTTAGCACCCAGGGGGACTCCCATTCCGCTTGCATTAACCTAAACCAGGTCAAGGACCCGGCATAATAGTCTCCTTCGCAGTCGCTTGGGCCGCAGTACCATACTTCTGCTGCATGCTGTGCAATTGAGACATTGAAATTACGCGATGCCTTTGAACTGAAGAACCCTTTCCCTTTTCTTACGTTGAATGCGGTGTGAATGGTATTTATTGAATTATACCATTCCATACAAGTGTGTTCTAAATTAGCGACCGGTAGTTGAAATTCTTTTAATTAAGAGTGTTCATTCAATACTATTAATATTAAGCTGTTAAGAATATAGAGGCGTAATCTTTCGTCAAATGAAAGCTATTTTGCAGTACTCCATTTTAGTATTCTCTAGTCCAGTCAAACAAACAGGATGAGGAAATTGCGGGGGAAATTGTAGGTATAAGTATCGTGAATTAATACTCACCAGAGTTGTGTTTTGGCCGAACGCGTCCAGAAGACATCCAGAACTGTAAATGTGTTCTGTAAACATATCTATCAATTGATGAAGTCTCTGGTAAGTCTTATTTGCAGAAAGCAGAACTGACACAGTCGATTCCACTCTGTCTTCCGTTTTTTCCTGCTGACTGCGCTAATCCCTCATGTTATCAGTCTGTTTTGGGTCATAGCAAGAACAATGAACACTCCTTGAGTTAGTGTTCAAGCCCATTAAACAGTCATCGTTTGTTTGTCAAGTCTGACAGCTTACCCCTAGAAAAGGAAGTGAATTCTCAGATTAGAAAGGCCTCTTTATTCGTTAATACTTAACATTATGTAATGTTACGCCGATAAACTGCTATGTTCTTCCTGCTACTCAAAGATTCGCTGGAAAGAGTAGATGCTTTTCGTGCCAGCGTATTAATAAAATCCGGGTTCTTGAGACGAACGTTGACCTTTTGGCCAAAGCTAATGTTCCCTTCTTCATAATCTGCTGCCTTTTACAACAATCAACACTCATGCGCTACTCTGGCATTTCCGTCGCAGGAAATCAATTTTGTTTTTGTTTGTCTTGTAAAGTATTGCACTTATCTAAATTATTTTTAAACTCTTACGGATCAGCACCTCGCCTTGTGACCAATCACAGAGCTGTCTGTGTAGTGTTAGCGCCGTGTCCACTCGATTAGGTCCCGCCCTTATATCCGGTCTATTGCCACACGCGCAAATCCACATTAAAAAGCTAACCAGATTCGTTTAAGCTTGCGAGCAAGCTCGTGCGTCTTAAGAGCGGTATGGCTCAGATCAACCCAAAACAGAACATTAGTTTCTCTATCGATGGAATCCTTAATTCTGGCAATGAAGACGATAGATTTCAAAGGAATCGTGAAACTTGCAGCACTTTTGAAACGATTTCTTTCAAGAAAGCAGTGACAACGGAAGATGGAAACAATATTAGAGGCGACAACAGCCCCAATAACAATAATAGCCCGATCAGCATGGAGAAGAACACAGGTCAGCCTTTTTTTGCTTTTTATGTTTAAGAAGATTGTTTATTGTTATTTCTGTTAGTAAGAAGGGTTGTTATGATCATAGCAGGCAAAAAAGGACTGAGTAGAAAAGGAAAGCTTTATCAAAACCCAGCTGATCAATGTTGGCTTAACTTAAAATAACAATGAGCCCCGGAATTAGTCCATAGACTGACTCAGTGATAGTAGTTCGTGTAGTAAAGCTCGCCGTCTTAGTGTTTAGCAGTTGTTGGTGTCGAGATTTATTTATTATTTTCGTTCTCTGACGAGAAAGTCCTGGCAACATTCTCATGACTCGTATGGAACTTCTTGAATCAAATGACAAAGTTTCCCCGATAATCAAGCTCTCCTATTAATACCGTGAAAAACTATCAGAAATCTCAATATCCAGAACAAATTTTCCTTACAAAAGGGTTCAACACTGTTGAAAATGAGTGAGTGTTAGTGGGAAAGTATTGTTTCTTTCCAATGAGGTAGAATCCAATTAAAAAGGCATTGACTTCAGTTAAATTGGATAACTTTTTTAACCAGATCATCTGAAGATGGCTACGTCCGATTCTACCTGATAAATAATCATTATAAGTCAGTGTTCGAAAGGTAGCTTTAAGTTATCGCAAAAGACCATTGGCTTCAAAGGAAACAATTGCCATATCTCACGCTCAACTGAGAAATACGCATGTTTATTGATGCAACCGTTTCAGTTTGTGGAATTTGTGGACCGACGTTTCGACAGTATTGACTTTGAACATTTTTGCCAAAATTGTGCGGTTCTTTTGTTTAACAGAGCAGATACTAAAAACAGTTTTATTGGTTTTTGTTATATTCCTCTTGTCTCTCAAAAAGACTGACGTATTTCATCTTCTCGACATGATGGCGATGTTTTCGACAAGCTGGTCGATTAAGGAGAATTGAATATATATATATATGCGTTATTCAAAAAAAATCACAATTCGTATCTCTACGTGAAACCGTGTTTGAATGGTCAATGAGTCTGTAGACTTTCCCGGATTTGTTACGAACTGTGGAATTTTTCTACTTTTACCAGGGGAAAGTTTAATATTTCTAAGTACAGTAACGTCGTTCTTACGTCTTGATACTGACATGTCATCCCAGATCTTGGCCACCGAATAAAATCTGGTTTCTTCTGGTACTGTTCGCGTTTTAGCGCCAGTAGTTAAGAAGACGAAACTTCTTGGTTATTTTTTCATTAATGCTAATTTTGACCACTCTTGGGAGTAAAATGCCTTGATAATCGTGACAAGTAGAAGAAAACGTGAAGGACTTTGCGTTTATCGCTATTGAGTGCATTATGTGGTGGGGATTATTGCAAATTAATCCCTACAAAAAGACAGGAAAAACGCAAAATTACTTTTTTAAGAATCTTATCTAAGACATCCCAATTCTCACGCATTGTTTAAGGGAATTGAGTTGGTACAGTTTGCAAATACAAAAACCTCCTCCAAATCCTTTATTACGTGAGATTTAAAACGAAATCAAGACTATCATCAATTGATACGAGGCATTGCTGAATTACAAAAGTAAGATTATAAAATGAAATACTTGAACCTCTTAACAGACTGTCTAAAATCTCTGACAATTTGGAGTATGCAAGGAGAGCACAGGGTGGTATGGAAATGACATGTTCTGCAAAGGTCTTCCTGTAATTTTTCCATTTAGCCTCACCACAAAGAGGACTGCGAGTTCTTCCTCTTCTTGATTGGCATGTCATTATTATAAAATTGGATAGAAATTTCGTCGAAACAGCGAGTCATTCCTGCTGGCCTGTCTGACAGTCAAGGCGCCATTTTGTCTCAAGATGGGTTTCTGACCCCTGAGATTAAGTCCTCAGCAGATTGCAAGGTGTAAATTTTTTAACAGTGGGCGGAGTTGTGTTGTTGAGGTACTCTTGGCTCCCAACTTTATAAATTTGAGAACACGCAAACGTTCTTCTAAATTTTAATCAGATTTTTTTTTTCTACTTTTCACGTCCTGTCACCTTGCTATCCGCCTAACGCCCTCTTTACTGATACTGATCAAAAATTAATATCTTATCTAATGTTCAAGGAAAAATGTGTTGGTTTTAGCTCGGGGATCTAAAAAACAATAAGTACGTAATATTAAGAAACGTGGCCTCAAAAAAGAAAGGGCAAACAAAATTTAAGCCAGTTTTTACCGGAATCATAAGCCGACAGATAAAAAGTAAAGTTGCCAAATAAAAGATCTTAGTTATCTTTTACTTTCTCAGTTCTGCAACATTTCACGTTCATCCAGAGTTCATCTTTAGCTTTTCCTTGTCAGCTGAGTCTTGCAATTGTCAATGAGTGACTTCAGACTTCTTTGGATTGACTTAGGGACATTAAGATAACAAACTTACCTGTAGCCAGGTTACTTTATAAAGTTTGCTTTTGCCATACATTTAATGCGTAGTTCGCAATGGAAGAGGCAAACAGGCCGAGTATAACAAAGAGTCCATGCATTGCAGTGCTCACACACAATTGATAATCTCACAGAATAATCCCTTCGATGACATGAACTGTACGGATTTCATACGGTAACTTTACTGCACAACGGGGCTCGGCTATCATATGAGGTTATAGATTGAATCCTAAAGGGTAAAATCATCGCAAAATAACAAAAAATATCAAGCAGAGGTAGTCCGTGGTACATATATTTTTACCGTATATGAGTTCATCACTTTTAATTCGTATATGAACTGTTATTGTACAGTATGACAGCAGTACAGTGTACATGATAGAACTGGATTTAGAAGACAGTATTGTCAAATCCTGTGGTACCTTTATTTTTTAAGTTACTGTGCTACGTGAACAAGGAAACACCTTCTTATGAATCCCTTTTTGGATGATATCCTATCTAGATTATTTTCATGTCGTGCACCGTCTATTATCCAGGTGGCTCTCATGCCTAAAATACGTGTGAAAACGAAACTAACGCGCAGTATTTCAACCTTCTTGGAAAGCGAGGGTTTCTTTGCAGTACTTTACATTGTAAGTCAACAATTTTAACGTTAATTTTTATTCTAATAGTCTTTTTTTCAGTTTTTGCTTCTTTTAGAGGCGTTACTCGATGATCGAAACTTGAAGTTTTCGCTATGCAAATAAACAAAGCTACTGATCAGATTATGTCAACAATTTTGCTATTCCGGTCATAAGAAATTACTGCTTTCTGTTTAAGCCATTGAGTTACTTTATTATTTCTTCATTTTCAGCTTTTTAGGTAAAATTACTACACCATATTATCTGTTTTTCCGGTCATAAAAATCTCATTGTGGTCGTTACTCCAGTCTGACCTCAAGAGCTAATTGTTCCAGTGCAGACATCGTTTTGTCATTAACCCACTACCGGTCTATTATCAGCTGTTATTTACCACCCGGTAAATACATATCTACCATTAAAACTCCCGCAAAATATTTGAGAAACGTTCTGCATTCTATTTCGTGCGAAATATAAACAAAGAAACTTCATCATTGTAGAATGTTTGTTTGGTTTAAACACTGGTATGATGCAACTAAACTTAATGCTCGACTCTAACTACAATAAATTTAGCAATTTGTCGTAACCAGACAAATGAATCAGTTCTGCCATTTTAGGTTTCTCCATTTGGAAAAGAACACAGTACACCTGTAGAAACAGCATCATTAAAACTTTTAGAGGCGCAAATTAAGCGCACAAAAAAACACCAATTGTTTTAGTCAGCTTCTTTTGAAAATTGTTGATAGAAGTATAAAAGTGTAACTTTATATACGAGTTGAAGTAACGTGGTACTAGCTTCTATCACATCAAAGTATGCCATCCCGAAAACAGTTTTTTTTTCTCTATATATAGTTCTTTTTAGATGTTTCATAGCATTTAGTTAACACACTCCACTTGTTTTAATTTCTATACATTTTCATTCCAATTTAGTCCTAAGATTATATGGACAGGCACACCTCCACAGCCTCATCATTCAAAACTAATAGTTAACATACTATAGTGTGATTTTACCCACCCTAGTTAAAAGGATGAACCTCCTGTGAGATCCTAGAAATCACTGAATGCAATTACTCGAGACTAAACCATATTGCTTAACGAAACGGCAGCTTAGCCCCGCACTGTGATGATACAAAACTTTTGCCACACTTAGAACTGCATTTCACTACAGATTCTAATCCCCTCGATCTAAAATTTCAAATAAAGTATCTCACGGAACGAGTTTGCTCTTATTTTGTTACTTTTTTCACTGCCAGTAAGAAAAACAAGGGCAATAAAATAATATCAAAACGATAAGGGCTTAACATGGTAAAAACCTTTGTTTTAGTCAGACAAAACTTTCTTCGGCTCTGGTTTTAACTGTTTTGTGTTGCATGCGAAGTGTTCATTCTGGCGCTGTGTTTTCTTCATCGAGTTGTCCGATACCCTGCTGTCTTTGCGTGGGAGAACTTAAAAGGTTCACACATTTTTCTTAAGGCGAGTGTAACTCAATTACTTTCCTGTCTTGGCCAAGTGGTGCTGAAAAAGAGAAAATTCAAGTCTTCCAATGGGTTCTTAAAGCGAGTAAATAGTACTACTAATAATAATGTAACTGAAATGGTGCCTTGTATCTTCTCTTTCAACTGAAGATTCTAATCGCGCTAATGTATTTTGTAGCGCTTAAAAGTTCTAAACTTGAGAAAATCCAAATATTAAAAAAAGCACTTTATGAAATGCTTAGAAAAAAATTAGTACAAATGGGAAGGTATGGCCCAAAAAGGTTTCATTTGAAATTCTACACCACAGAATTTCGTCTACATACTCAAAAAGCTTTAAAAGGTACATTTCGTGTGAATCGTGGCTTTGGAAATGAACTGTCAGTAAAGAAGAAGAGTACACTACAGAGGGCCTGTTCTTTTCTCAGTGGGAGCAATGTGTCAAGTATAAAGCGCGTTAAAAAGCAGCATTATATTATATTCTCCCCCATTCTTCGAACCACGTATTTTGCTCACTTATAGCCTCTCAATAACAAAACCCTTAATTCAGTTCACATCCCAATAATAGAGAGATATCTTATGTTAAAATGAGAAAAAAAAAATGAGGCTAGAGAAGATTGATACATTTTGTTTGAGGAATGTGTAGGAACTGAATGAACAAATGTTTTCGTGCTAGCCTTCTAGCTACTGAATCTGTGGACGAGACGGGAAATCCGTGCGAAAAATGAAAAATAAAGAAGCTTCTGACCAGTCATTTCCTGTGGTACTGTTTATTATGTTGTGCAAAGAGATTCTGACTTTCGAATCTAATGATAAAATCCTATCGTGTACCGAGTATTCAACTGAAAGCTACTATAAAGCAGTACTCTCCTGTGGTGCCGTTTATTTTGGCGTATAAAGTGTTCCTGACGTGCCGGAGACTGTTGATGAAATTCATTGTACAAAGTGGTTTTATACCTTTTTAGTCTCGAGACGAACTCCAGTAGGGTAACCATTCTTTTTCTCCCTTTTTTGCGGTTTCTATATCACACACTATACTTTATTTTCTTACACATCACTTTGCCATCTTTGCCCGCAAATAGCAAAAGCTAGACCGGCGAGGCGGACGGAGAGGAAAGTTTACAGCAGTCATAACAGATAATATTGTAAAGTAACTAAATAAACTATGTGGATAAATAAGAATTTCCTCTACAAAATGAAATTGAAATTTTTTAAACGCTATAATTTAAGGCATTATTTGTAGTTAAAGGGCAAAGAATACTACTGGCTCTACGAGTGAAAAAGTCATTTATAATTTCCAATTTCCTTCAGGATCAAAGTCTGAGGACAGGGTCCGTCATGAAGCAAATACCAAGGATGCAGACAAGATAAAAACGCCTGGCAAGAAAAAGAGGCGCATTTTATTCACCAAGGCCCAGGTTTATCAATTAGAGAGTAGATTTCGCGTCCAAAAGTACCTCTCCGCTGTTGAGAGAGACCAATTAGCAAGAATGATAAACTTAACTCCTTCACAAGTAAAGATTTGGTTCCAGAACCATCGATACAAAAGTCGTCAACAAATCAAACAGGATGGGCAGTTTGAGGAAGACATCAAGACGCCTTGTGGGGGACATTACCATCCTGCCGAGGTGCCGTGCTTACAGCCGTGCCCATATTATGAACCTAGGGACAATATCAGTACGTTTCCGTCTGCCTTTATGCCTTGGTCCCCTGTTTGTCCTCCACCCCCTGTAAGCACTCTGGCCTCAGTAACTGCGCAACAAAATCAAAACTATTTGCGTTATCCTTCGTGTCAGTATGAAAGGCAAAGACATGTTTACTTTCATCCTCCACTATTTTACTAAGCCTTTTCTTTTTTCAACAGTGTAGGCATGTCAATGTAAGTTAGGTAACAAGAAGTGTGAAAGAACCCAGAGAAAAATCGCTGCAGGGAAGGGTTTACATTGAAATAATTCCGTCATTCAATGTCATATATTAAGGGGGCTAGGCCACGTAATAAGCCCACGGTTTTTTTCTTTTATCAAGTCAAACTCCATTGATAATGTTCAGAAAAGTTAACTTGACAAGCTATACTATACGAGGAAAGGTCTGGAAAATCAAAATGGCCGCTCGTATGAAAATGGAGAAGAAGGCTACGGAAAGGGCGAAAATGGTCTTATTTGACCATGGTTCCTGCAACAAATTCTAATAAGAGACTTCGTTTCACAAGCAAGGAAATAAGCAAAAATCAGTTAAATTGCGAGACCTATCTCCTTAAACCCTTGGAAAGAATAGTAATACCGCTATCAATGTGACCCCACGATAGGATGATGAATAATATTTTGACTTCATACCCTCTGTACAAAAATTGTCTAGTTGCTCCTTCGTCCGCTCAATACGTTTGCTTCTTCTGGTATACTCACACAACGAAAATCAATTAAATTTAATTCCCATACAATTAATAGTAAATTTGGAAGTTAAAGTTCGTTTTAAATGTGGAATCCAGTGTACATACAGTATATATTTTATTAAAAGTAAAATGGGAATTGTCTAAAATTAACTGGGAAAGTTATCGTATATTCTGGGTGGGGCTTTGTTGTAACTATCTGTGTGATTGCTCAATCATAAATTTACTTAATTTACAACGGAAATACAGAATACAATCTTTTCATTCTTCAATACATCAAATTAGATTACTTTTTCTTCTCGGCATTCAATGACAAGATTTTCTTCTTCATCTCAACAATCTTTCAGCACTCAGCCTCTTCTTTGCTGTAAATTGCTCTCAAAATAAATTATGTAAAGAAACTTTGTGTGTCATGATACTTTTTAATGTTCTTCATAGGCTTAACATGGTAAGCTCTTTTAAAAGGCGCTGCTTGGAGGGATGTGTTCTTAAAGTCTTTGAAAGATCCTCGCCCACCCTGTCAAAGGCGTTGTTCTCGTTTAAACCCTTACAATTCCAAAAAAGCTTTAACACAACAATTGTTAAAAAATAGTAGATCATTACGGAGGACCTAGAGGAAAGGTACCATTTACGGTCGTAAGATTTCGTCCACAGATTCCAGTCTTAGAACTTCTTCGTGCCACCATAATTGGCTGAAAATTGAAAAGTTCAGCTAAATTTATAGCATTTCCGTGAATATCCACCTGAAAAAACATTTTGTTAAAGTAAATCGCCGACACCGGCGGCAAAATAATGTTTAAGGTCATTTTTACGGTCACCCGGTCGGCTTTGGAACTTCATCCGCAAAAAGTATGAAAATAATACACTAACGTCAGGTTGACAACATTATAAACAGAACATAATGAGAGAAACTTTATACTGCTCGCAACTACAGGCTAGAATCAACTTATACAGCAAAATACAAAAGATTAACACACACCATACGTCCAAACAGTTCTTATTCATCCACAATGGAGCCTCCGGGCGTGGCCAAAAAGATGTTTCATGACTCATTGTTTACCGGAAATATGCATTAAGAGTTAATCTGAGTAGTTAAATCGGTGTTACACGATTAGTACCTAACAATCTAATGTCTATTTCAGGAGTGTATATCTACCCTCTAACGAGTGTTAATTCTCGGACGACCAACCCGAATTCAATTTTACTAGAACCGTTCCAGACACCGTTCAGTGCTCCATTTTAGGGTTACTTTATAATTTTAAACGTTCTCATTGATCGATTGTTAACGAATGTTTTTAGTTTTTTTGCTTTATTGCACTTTAATTTTATTAAGTTTCTTTACTTGGTATAATTTCCCCTTCTGTTGTTATTTTTTAATTAGTACAGTATTGACGAACTGTATCTACACAAGACGGTTATATTCATATCCTTCCGTCACTTAATAAACTTTTATATAGAACTCAGGAATCATTCATGATTCAAACAAAGGGCTTTTCCTAACTAGAAAGCCTGTGTAACGTCCATATCTAAGCCTTTCTCAGACTTAGATGGGAGCTATCAAAGTCGATGATTATCCGTTTTTGACCCACCCTCGTTGTAATCTATTGAATCCTAGATTATGAGTTCTATTTGAATCTTTTGTAGAAGTTTTCATGCAGAGTAAGAAACATATTGAAGTTTTTGAGCTAACATGATTAGTTTAGTCTGATTTCAGTCAATTTTGTGATTCTTTACGGTTAAGTAAAAGTGCTAAAATTGGTTGACATAGGAGTCCCAGAAGAGTCCCAATGGGTGTCCGCTTGACCCTTTAAGTCTCAAAGGTGATCAACATCTATTTTCTCCTCTTACAATATCAATACGTAATGAAGAGGAAAAGTTATGAGAATTAATAAAGTGATCACTCAAAGGAAACTGCTTTGATCTGCAAACAAATACTCTCAGCTGATTCTTTAAGGAAATGTATGAATATCAGTTTGGAGAATTTGATTGTGGATATCGGAGCTTAAAGGGTTAATGAATACCTTCACTTCCGGTGAACGCCCTTTATCGGAGGGGTATGAGAAAATAGCGGTTCCGGTTCCCTTGCAAGTCCGTTTTCCCTGGGTGGGGAGCTTGGCAGAGCAATCCAAGTTCCTGGAGGATTAAGCGATGTATGGGTGGCTTTACTCCATAATCAAACAGTTCCTGTTTTCAAACTCTTGGTAGGGGTGTGCCACCCGGTTCTCCAATCCTGACCCTATTTCGGACCAAAAAATTTCATTTTTCACATCCTTTTTCAGACCTGGCCGCAAGGAGATTCCAACAAAAAATATTGCTTAAAATTCTCATCAAATTCGCATATTTCTATTTCTTTCTTATTCATTTGGAATTGAAACGATAAATAGGTTCATTTACTCTCGTAGTGTCCTCTAAAACCACATCCGATTCCAGGCCAAAATGGGCAAAATCTATACCCGTTTTCAGACAAAAACGGTGCGAAAACCGTACCGTTTGGTTCGGCACATACCTATATGGTTTATACAATGGAGTCCCTCCCCCGGGTTCTATATACGTAAGCCGTTTTTCGAGTTTCTGCTTTTGCATTTGACATATACAGTGTCTCCATTTTTCAAACCAAATCAAATGCACATTTAGTTTTCAGATCAACATAAATCCAGCCTTTCAAGACCAATGAAACCCAAATTTTAAAATAATATTTAGAGCAAAGTGACCTGACACCCGTCTGATTATCCCGTATCAGTGAAACAGAAAAGGGTCGAAAAGGGATGATATCACTTCCTGCTACATCTGTTGTTTTTTCTTTTGCTTATAAAGTATAACCGCTGGTATTTAGCCAGCTCGCTCTTTGAGTTTCTTTAGCTGCAAACCTGCATAGGTCATGGGGACTCAAATGTACTTCCCCCTTTGGGAGAGCAAACTAATCACTGTTTTTCTTTAGGCCGGGTCAGTACACATGAAAGAAAGCCAACGGGTATTCAAAGAAAGTCACTGACGAATAAACAACTGAAAGAAATCGCGTTTAAATTCTTTGAATTCCTTCAGGCGATATTTTAATTTGGTTCGTCCATAATACGATATTCTTGAAAATCTAAGATAGATTATCAAATTTTTTAAATAGAATAGGAAGGAAATGTAAACAAAAAGCTTTTAAAATCTTTAACAAGCTTAAGCAGTAATCCTTTAGTTGAGGAGCGCTTTTGCATAATCCTGAAACTTCCTTAACACCATTCATGTGAAAGTGAGAGAAAATTTCAGTTAATTGAAGTTGTACTGTATACATCTAACATAAAACGGTCGTTATAACACTACTACGTCATTTTTTGTAGTAGTTATTAAACTGGGGCCAGGTTTTGGATGGGTATTTGATGATCCAATTATAACCTGGGACAAAACAAGGAAAAATAGTACATGTATGTTATTAAAATGTGGTGGGTCATTTTCTGGTTACTCAGCTCTCTTTTCCGGATCTTCTGAAAGGGAAGGATATATGTTATACAAGACGTCACCGGTAAACTGGCGTGCAACCAACAACTCATGATGCCAGGATGGCCCAACAAAAATGAAAATATTGAAAAGTTTTTTCTTTTCCTCTGGGGGAGGGGGTGTGCCCCCTCCCCCCTCTTCCGGGTTCTTTTCTATATTTCCAGATCGAGTCGAAGACTGAAAAACATTGACATTGCAGGGGATTGATAAATATAAAACTTTGTGCTCGGAAAAAAAAAACCTTCAAGAACAGCTCTGTTACAACACATAAAGTTATGTGCATTGTTTTCCTATTGAACATGTAAAAACCATCTTCTATTTGGTACATTCAGTCCAGAGAATAGAAAATGTCCATTTAACTTCCAAGGCAGACCTGAATTAAACAAAGTATATGACAACGCTGTTCTTACGTTTTCGCCTCCCAAACTCAAAGCGCGGTTCATTCCTTGCAACTGAAGGTCATGTGACCTTGTTTGCGTTTTCAGTAGTGCGTGTGTACGAACCGTCGCATATCTTTACTGGCAAGGATACATCTCAAAGTTATTAAAACCTTTAAAAGGTATTAACTTCGACTCCAGGAAGTACACACATCATATGTGCACCGTTATGAATCGCAAGGTCAAGGTGTCCAAGTTGAAAGACGATTGGTTTTGAAGAAGAGCCAGAGGAACTACTTCCTGACAAAAGGTATAATTTTCAAGGGTTAAACCACAAGGCCAACTCGTCCCCTCCTGGTAACCCAGATTCGACATATTCAGTTAACTTCTAACTTGACTCCGAGGTTTTCTGCCATATTCCTAAATTTGGTTTGGTTTCTTTGTGCTGACGTCTCTTCTGGGAATATTGCGAGACAATGGAATGCATAGTGAGATTACCAAAAAAAATTAATTAGCTCGTAATTATAAAGCTTCGGAGTCACGTTAAGTTTTGATATATCGTCCATGGACTATTGGAAATGATATGACTAAGAGCGAT